CACAATAAAAGTCATTATAATTATACAAACACATCCTAAAATAGGCATGGTTGGAACAATCAAATTTTTAAGTAAAACGCCAGCCTTTAAATCATAAGCCAAACAAAACATATAGTAAGCATAATAGAGAAGTGAGTATATAATGGACAACAATATAAAGTGAATTATATTAACTTTTAATTTATCATCAGAAATTGGTTTTATCATTACAAGATGCTTAATGTGATCAAATACTGTATAAATTGCAGGATTTTTACAAAAATTTAACGTATTAGTGTTTGTTTCTTCCATCAAATGTTTAGTATTTGTGGCAGACTGTTTAGAATTATTTTGTTTCAGAATAAAAATAACGTTTTTGTATTAAAATTTATTTAAATTGAGAAATCATCATTAAACGTGTAAATTGGATAAATAAATGATCCTTGTGATCTTGGTGGAATATAGTTTTTAATGTATTCATAGACAGTTTCTTTGTCTATTAAGCTTATAGGTCTTATATTTAAATCAGAACAGATGTTTACATAATCAAGATGTTCAAGATTGTGATATTTTATAAACAAAAGAATAGAATTTAAATTTTACTTTTTGTTGTTTAACACTTCTATTGGAATTGGAATTGTTTCTACAGTTTCATTTTGAAATAATAAATTCTTATTAACTATTTCTATTAATTCTGTATTGTTAAAGGCTTTCTTAACTAAATCCATTTTTATTTAAAATTTTTATAAAAATTTTTTATTTAAATCTTTTAATAGTTTTCATTGAAACATCAATTAAATTACCAGTTGAATGAACAACTTTTTTTAAAGTTGAAATATTTTCACATGTAAAGCTTAATGAGAGTTTATTCTCCTCTGTGTTAAAAACTATTCCATCTCTGGTGTCATATTCTACCGCTTGAGCTACTAATTCAGGTTTTTCACAATCTATCTTAATGTTCACGTCTATCATTTTTTTCTTAACAAAGTTTTTATTTTTTAATAAAAAATTCTCAATTTAAGTTTATTTTAGTATTTTATCTGATAACAAGTAAATTTTATGTTTTTCACTATTTAAACTCATTAAATCTCTGTATTCTCTATAAGAAGTACCTCCTTTTATAAAAACAAAATTATAATAACACTTTATAATGTTGTTTTGTTTTGTGTTATTAATAATTTTAAGTCTGTTTTCTATAAAGTGTTTCATAATTCTCTTAATAGGACTTTCATAGGCAAGTAAGAGATGATTATTATTAAATTTACAATTTCTTTCTTTATTGATTTTAATCTCTTTAAGTTCTTTCTCAGTATCACTTTTTAACAAATCTAATTTTTTTATTAACTCATTTACTATAGTTGAATGTTTTTCATATAATTCACTATCCTCAACTATTCCCTTTAACTCGTTACTTACTTTATCAACACTTAAAAATTTTACTCTTTCAAAAAAAGTATCTTTTAAATTATACTTTTTGTTGTTTAAAGTAATCATATAATTTGAATAGTCAAATAATTGATAAATTGCTGATTGATAATAATAATCAGTTATAAATGGTGTAATTAAATCAGTTTCTCTTTCAAAATACAAAAGTTTACACGAATTTAAATTTGTTGGAATATCTTCAGCAATAAATTTGTAAGATTTGTCTTCTAAATTATACTCTTGTCTAACAATAAAAGGATATTTTTCAATATTTTTAAATATACCACTAACATCTAAATCTTTAACTAAATAGAAGTAGTCATCTTGTTTTATACCAATTAAATTTATATTTAAAATCTTTTCTATCAAATTGTATCTATCAGTACCAGCTAATATTTCTAAAGTATAGTCATCAACTGATTTAATTAACAAAATTGTATAAGATTTATAGTAGGGGTTTGTTAACTCACATATTAGTAAATTGATGTTTTTTGGATCCAAAATTACCACACAATGTATATTTTCTGGTTTTCTAGTTTTATTGTTTAAATATGTAAAGTAAAAATAATCGTGTTCTAAAAATTCATAGTATGAAATTATATTATTAATGGCTTTTTTAGTATCATCACTGTCAAATAATAAAGCTTTTATACCGGTTGATGTATTTAAAATAAAACTTTTTTGTTCTTCATATAAATTATCTTTCATTTGATTGTTTATTTTATAAAACTTTTCTAAACATTTAAATAAAAACATTATTGAAAAAATCAACATTATACTTTGATAAAATAATTTATAGTAAGTTTAGTGATTAAATTCTTAGTAAAAATAAGAATTTAACAACAGCAAATAAGTTTAAAATAATTTCAATAATTAATAAATTTTACAACAAGAAACTTTATTAAAACATCCATAGGGGGATTCGAACCCCCGCCTCTGGTTCCGAAGGCCAGAACTCTACCATTAAGCTATATGGACTCATAATAACTTTAATTTTGGATTTAAGCTTAATTTAAGCATAAATTGAATCCAAACAAATTTATTGATTTTCAAATTTATGATAAATAGAAATTACTACATTATAAATAATATCTATTTTACTTTCAATTCTATCAATACGATCATTAAGAATATCATCATAAACTCTTTTGGAACAATTAGCTTTAATATCACAAGCTTCCTGTTTCAATTTATCTACCAACTTTTTGCCTCTAATACAATTGTCTACCCCTGAACAATAAACAATTCTATTATCTTCAATATCATAACTGTTTATATTAATATAATCATTATTTTTA